CTTGTTTCTCCAACTGGAGTACATAGAGGCCACAATTTGGGCAGTGAGGTGGAGGTGTTAAATACCCAACCTGCAGATTCAAAATGTGAGAGTCAGATCCTGGCATTACAACATAATAGATTTGTGGTCCTTTGCAAGCTGTTTGTCTCTCGAAAACTTTATTTTCCTCATCTATAATTTCACAATGAAAGAGTAGGATTATTATAAGAACTAAAGTCAATGAGGTAATCTATGAAAGCACTTTGCATAGTGCCTGGGTTCTTATAAGCTCAATATATGTTAGTGTACTTCCCCCCCCTTTAAAAGTCTTCTTTCTAAATTTCTTATATTCTAAAATTAACATTGAGAACTCTTTTGCATTTCAGAAAGTAATGTGTCTGACAACAGATGATGCGTCCTAGGCCCACTGACAGAATGATGCATAGACTAATAGTACATCTTACAATCAGCAGCACCTACAGTGAGATAAAATTTGAAATTACCGTTATTTTTACTGCTAATTTGACTATGTGAAGTATGAAAGAAGATGCAAGAGACTTCATGTAAATATGGTGAATTTTTTTTCCAGAAACATGTTTCACTTGAAGATTTAGGTAGGAAAAGTTGAATACTCTAGCCAACGCAAAAATTTAGATTTTATTTTTTGGTACTGGGGATGGAACTTGAGACCCTGCGCTTGTGAGGCAGGTGGCGGAACCACTGAGCTAAATCCCCGGCCCTAGATGTTATTTTTATATTCAAACGTGCATGGATATCTTAAGTAGAAGTCACAATTGACCTGAATTTTTAAAAGAAAATATGACATTCCACATCAACTTTGTCCTGAAACATCAGGTTTCTGTAGCTGGTCTTTGAGATAACAAGAGCTCAGGGTGTTGACCTGTTTGAAATCAAGTGCTGGAAAAGTTTGAGAAGCAACATGGGAAGCAGTGGGGAGAAAAACCAAAGGAGGTCTCTGGGATGGTGGAGTGAAATCGAGTGGGAGCTAAAGGTGGAAGTGAGGAACAGAGATACAGCGCTGTGGCTGCAGTGATAGTAATTGTCCCAAGTCGAAGATCAAGACCCAGGAGGAGTGCTCAGCCCTACTGGGGACAAAAGGATGCTGGTCAAGAAATCTTCTTAAAGAAGGTGAATTTCAAGTATTTTCAGGACCGCGATATGAAATTTGAGGAGATAATGTAGTTTTGCTCTCCTTTTGGGGGACTGGGATGCTCTCCAGATTAACAGAGAAGGCCTCACTGAGCTTTCGGCAGAACTAGAACTTCCACTTGCTTGGCCTTCCCGGGCCAAGGCCTTCAAGGGTCTCGTGGAGGCCGGGGTTCATCAGGAGGAAGCTGGGTCAATGCAGAGCTTATTGACCCACATTTAACCCAAGCTAAGTACTCTGTAACCTCTTCCAAACTTCTGAATTTATGTTACAAACAGAGCCTGCATTTTGGATTTTGCTCATAAAACATAACTCCAAGGATTATAAAATATTTATTCCAGGCTCCTTCCAGAACTGGGAAGTGGGGAAAGAATAGTGTTCCTTCTGTGGAACCTTGTCATTAGAATGGACCTCTCCTGTTTTTGCAGAGTTCCCTGGCTGCTGCTCAGACTTTCATTTTCTTGTCCTAAGGAGAAAGAGCCACATCCTTTAGGAAGACTGGTGCGACACTGTCACCCGAACCCTTTACACCTCCCAATTATGCCTGCAACAGTTGGTTTAAAGTACCAGTAATTTACAGCCCCCCCGCTGGAAGCCTGGAGGGAATTCTTCATTGTTCAGAGTTCAGCAAGTGCCAGCAGTGTTACTGAAGTGGTAATTGAATTTCATGAACCCTCTGTGGTCATGTCAGCAGAGAAAGGTCTACAAGAACCATGTGAGGTGGATATGATGAATACATTTCCAATAATAATGGATCTTCAAACAAGCTGCATAGCATGCAGCCAAAAGGACATACTGGTTTGATGATTTGACTGATGATATTGAGCACTGTGGAGTGAAACATGTCCAGAAACAGCGACGTGCACCTACAAGGAAGATATTTGGAGAGAAAATGAACCACTGCTCAGAAATCTCTACCAAAAGTTTTTTGATAATCTCATCAGGTACAGATGTGTGTATGACAAATGTCTCCTCGTGTTGTCAGAAATGTCCTCGTCCTGTTGCTAATTGAATCTTTGTGTGGAAAAATCCCCAAATAATTTCTGATGATAATTTGCAATGAAATGTACCTTATCACTATACCGGGAATTCAGTGCTTTCAAATGATCTCAACAGTCTAACTACTTTGCGATGCTTTTGCTAAAAGGGAACATTTATAGTTTGGGAACATAGCACAAAAATGAGAGCTGTTGGAATTGTTTTGGTTGCTGAAAATATACTTGGCCTCCGTAACTGTGGCGCTGTGAAAAGGAAAGCACTTTAGCTCCCAACTTAGCAGACCCTGAGTTGAGCCCCATCTCCTGCATTTGCTGTGTCCTTAATAGGTCACTGACTTCTCTGAGTCTCTATCTTTCTCTGTAAAAATGAATCAGCAACGCCTGCCTCTGAGCACTGACTCAATAAAACTAGGGGCAGCGCTTGGTTCTGCTAAAGCTTATTAACAGCTGTCATCTACAGGCCTACTGAGTGCCAGGCACAATCAGAGGCTCATGAGCACACATTAACTTAGACCACCATGCAGTTAGGATTTAGGCTGATCAACCCATCCCAGGTGCCTGGGACAGAACTGATTTTACAACCAGAAAGTCCTGAGTTTCCAGAACCAACTCAGACAAGGAAAAGTAGACTGGACCTGTTGGTCACCCTATCGTTTCCTAGCCACAAACACTGAAACTCGGGATTGTGCGTATCACTTCGTACGCCACATTCGAGAAAGACCAAACCCAGTACTCAGACCCAGGCTGGCATCACCCTCCCGCTGTGTTTTCTGCAGTCTGATCTCTGTCCACCCAGTCAAGATCGCTTTCCTTGCTGTATTACTAGGATGTCCTGAACTTTGTGAATATTTGTACATGAGACCACATTCCCCACCCTGTAATGGTAATTTCTGGAGGGGGTGTGTGCATCTGTGTATGTTGAACAGTGAGGAGTCGAGAGTGAACCTGAAAATTTAAAAACCTAACATTCATTTCAAAGAACATTCTATCTTTTGCCAACACACAAGCCCTCATTCTTTCCTTTATTCATGAGTTTGACAGGTTTGTAGTGAGGTCCTGCTGCATGTTCGGGATGCAAACACCGAGACGAGGGTAGGAGTTGCTCATGGTGGGATGCAGAATCAGCCGTGCAGTCGAGTGCGAGCCACGTGGGTCTTCTGTACGGCTGCAGGTTTAGATCTGGCAGCTTTGTCTCTGGCACCAGCTGCTTCCCCTGACCCAAAGGCTTTCTGTCTTCTTTATTATTCAGCCCCAGTGTCACATTTTCAGGAACAAATTCTCAACTCTCTGAAGCTAAACTAGCTACCTACAAATCCTCCATGTCACCTTGGATTATTTATTCCCTATCTGATATTTATTCTTTCCACTTATTCTCTGCCTTTTGCCTGCCTTTCTCAACAGGGTGTAAATACCAGGAAAAAGGCACAACCTGTTTCTCTTATTCTTTGTTTTATTCACAGCTGTGTTCTCAGAACCTAAAACAATGCTAGGCTCACAGAAGCAATCAGTAGGTATTTGTTGAATGACTAATACAGATGAATTTAGCATTTTGGGCACCGGAAGAGGAAGTTAGGGTCACAGGTTCCAGGGTACTGTGCTTGGAGGATCATCGCAATTCAGCCTTCATTTTCTTTCCTGGTTATAAAGATATTATATTTTCAGAAAGTTGGTAAAGAAATCATAAAAAAGGAAACAATATGAGACTGACCTGAGATAATCACCAATAATATTTGCTGCATTTCATCTCCTAGGTCTCCTTTGATTAATGCTCATGGATATTTGTTTTGAACAAAAATAAATCACTCTCCACAGTTCTACCCTTTTTTGTGTGTATTTTCTTGCAATATTACTTCTTACACTTGCACTTTAATGATCATTTCTCATCATAATATATATAATATCTAGCCAAATTTATCTAGCCAAATCTATATTGTTGGATCTTTAAGCTTTTCCAATTGTTTTTTTTTTGCCATGATGAACAACATGGTGTTGATGAGCCCCAAAGATAGATACTTCTGACCCATAGACCCATGTGGTATCTTTTTACTTTTTGGTACCAGGGATCAAACTTGGGACCTTGTGCTTAGGAGGCAGGTGGCGGAACCACTGAGCTAAATCCCTGGCCCTGTGGTATCTTTAGATGCAATGAAAGTTTGAATTCAGAATCCTCTAGTTTTACTTTTTTTTAAAGAGTTTTTTGAATAGTAACTAGGGACATGAAGAACATGTACTCCATAGGCCATCTTGCAAATGAACAATGTATGTAGATAAAGCACTCTGCACAACATAGGAGTGCCATACATGTTAGACACTCTTTATGATCATTCCATGCAAATAAGCTCCTAGAAGGCCATTTTGTTTTCTAATTTACTTTAAAAACAAAAACTAGATCTACAGAAGGATAGGAAGGGGGCTACATGGCACACATCAGGACCAGGGTGATGCTTGCTTTTCCTTGTACTTTCAGTCCCTGGTTGGTTGAATCTGCAGATGCAGAACTGCTAGGTATGGATGTGCAGCTCTGTGGTTCCCCTGAGAATGGACTGACCCAGGCAGGGTTAATGGGTTCAGCTGGGAAATTGGGAGGCCAGGAGCCTTTTAATGAGATGAGGAAGTCCAGGAGGTGAGTCTTGCCGGGTTAGACAAGAAGTTCGGATTTCAATCCATAGACGTGTGGTGGTTGTCTGGGGAAAGATGATCAGGCCAGAAGGTGAGGTTGGTATGAACGGTGTGGAGAATGGGCGAGGCCTCGGCAAAGGCGATCACCTAACAGCAGGAGATGTCTTTTGTTTCCCTTTCGAGGAGGAGAAGTTATGAGCTCGCCCCGAAGAAGCCATCTGGCTTTCAGTAGGTGCTACAGATCGATGCTTTATTTAATTCATAAATTTTTATTTTCAGTAAACAACCATACCAACCTTGGAAGCACAAAAGTAGTACCAGAGTCACAGATTGATAACATCATGCTTTTTAGGTCTTATCCGACAAGTAGAGACATTAAAAAGAATATTTTACAAAATGCATAACTTACATTTTCATAAATACTTTAAAGGAGATAAAAATGGAACACATGGTGACATTGGAGGAATGAATAGCCTTAATTTTGCAGCCTATCTTATAAGCCTGACCTCATAGATACATGTAAGTATGTTTATGTTGTTTGTGTTTTCATAATTAGAGCCCAAGGATGAATTTGGGACATGTCTAAATACTATAAACTCTCACAAAATTTGTGATCTTTCGCCATCACAATCATGTTGGTTTTGTCTCCCTTTTTCTTCAAAATTCCACATAAAGCACATGGGAAAGTCATCAGAGGTTGTAATCAGTGCTCTGAGCCTCAGTTTACTTACTGATGAGAGGATCCCTGCTGATCTCTTTTGCTTCTGCTGAACTAAAACACTAGTGAGCCTCACAGCCTGCAGTATACAGAGGTGCTTGGGCTTTGAGGGTCCAGTCATTTAGGCATTGGGAGTTTCTGTTGAGCTTCTTTCTAGAGGAAAGGAGTCAGTTTATCTGAAGTGGAGGAAGTACATAACCAGTCACTTAATTAACAAATGCCTCACTGCTGTAGGTACAGCACATTTCCTAGCATACAGGTGAATAGAATAACAGCTTCTGGACTTCATGTTGAAGAGTTGTATGTTTCTTGGGGTCTTGGCCTTCAAGTGCAGAGCTGACCTATGCCTGAAGGAAGCCCAGTGGGAAACCAATAAGCTAAACCCCAAACATGGTGAAATATTTGTATGATGACATGTTCAGTATGGTCCTAGACTTCACCATGTCATTTACTACAGTGACATTTTCTGGGAATTGCATTAGTGCACGACAAAATAGGATGAGTGTCACGTGATAGAGTCTACAAAGGAAATCATATATCTGACTTCTTAAATTTATAGAAATTTGCATTTGTAATAAACATCACAGGAAAGTAAGTCATTCCTAAGCCATATCCTGAGCTTCCCTGGATTCCAAGTTTACAGTGGGAATACCTTTCATTAAACAAAAGACAGATACATGTGAGCTCATATGATCACAGAAAAATACACAGCACTCAAGTATTCAGCAATGGGTCTTCATTTTTCCTCTTATATTCATTTGATGGGGGGTCAACAGCAGCTAGTTTGCCACTGCAGGCGTTTCTTATATTTCCCCTCCACTGGCCTTCAGCTCCGGCTGCTGGAGGAAAGCCTCATTGTTCTGGGGGCAGTTGGTGTGGCAGGTGCAGGTGCTGATGACCATGACTGGCTTCTGGACGGCCTGCCCTGGCGAGCACTGGAACTCCACCTGGACAGTTTTGGTGTTGTGGGGAGTGCAGCACCGGCCGTCGCTGCAGACCCCGCAGAACCTGGGCTTGTAGGTGAGCAGGCTGGTGCAGTTCTCGTACCGCAGGTGGATGGCCTGCAGTGACTTCTTTGTGCGGAGGCACTTTTTTCCCTTCTGAGAAAGAAGGAAAGAAGCGATGCATGGAATGGTTATCATTTTTCTGAGAACTATTTTACGGGCATGGGAAACCTTCTAGTTGCCCTCCGAGTATCCGCTGGTCTTACTTATTTGCTAAAAGAACATTAATTCGTTGGGCTACGTGGTCACTAAAGAGAGCTCCTCCCCCAGAATATCTAAGAGCTTGGAATGACCTGTGACAAATCTGTGGTCAATGATAATACAAACTGAAAAGAATTTGAGAACTCCTTTGCCTTTTGAGCAGGCACAGTTCTTTACTGCTTCCTATATTCATTTTCTTTCCTGCCTGGAATGTGAACACGGTGCCTAATTGTGTGTAATTATCTTTTGACCTTGAGGGCACGAAAGGGAAAGGACATGTATGATAACAAAACCTATCTTTGCGAAACTGCTGTAGCAAGTTTTTTTTGTTTTGCCAAATGTCTTTTAAGTGTTACAAAGAGAAAGGGAATAAATCTAGAAGGAACAGCTGCCCAACTTTATAGATCAGAAGATATTTAGTATTTGGATTTGTCTGATGAATAGCCCATTCCTTCTATTGTACGACGACCTCGGGAAATTATAAGACAACGGGACGTAAGGTTCTTCTCCAAGAAGAGCAAGTAAGTAGAGAATTTAGCGAACAGACAGTGAGGAGCCTGGACAATGATGATTCAGCAAAGAACCGTCTCATTTCTCATTTTGCTGCACTTCTCCACTCCTTGTTTCCGAGGCACAGCCTATAGCTGGTTATCGGTCAGGTTCAGGACCTTCCTGAATCAGAGGCACACGAACCCTGGTGTGCATCAGAACCACCTCACGGTCTGTTGGGCCTTGGGTCCAAATCTTTGCATTTAGTATTTACGCTGTGGCCACAGATGTGCGCTTCTTATAAGTTCTGAGCTGCTGCCGCAGGGGCTGGCCTCTAAGAACTACTGTCTCAGGGTTAAGAATCTCTTGGAAGTGAGGAAGAAAGACTATTATGCTAGTACTCCCTGTACATTCCAAACATATTTCTAGAACCTTTAGGAGATATGTGCACTATAAATAAACAGCTAAATATACACCTTCCGGTATGAAGTGGGGTGCAAGAAAGAAATACAAACTTTGTGAAAAGAAACAATAGAAAAAGCCCAGTTTTACAGACGTGAGAGCAAAACCTTACTTAGTAAAGAAGTTACTGTGCCCTTGAAAATATTTTAAAGCTTCTTGTTTCTCCCTTTTTCTGTTTGCATGTTTCATGTTTTAATATTTAACACAGATTCTTGTCAACCCTGACAAAAAGTTAGAGACCGGAACACCCCTGCGGTGTGTGTGTGTTGTGTGAATGTGTGACTGCTTGTGTGGGTGAACCTGAGCACCTATGTTATGTGCTTTTCCTGGGTGGGTGAAGGCTCATCTTCTAGGGTTTGGTCTTACAGCAAAGGTGTTTCTAAGGATTCTTTCTAAATTGGTAGAAGAAACATAAAGTTAAGATGGGCTGGAAGAAATCCTAGAGCTAAGTGGCCATTATATACTAATATGACCACTAGGATGTGTATTTTCCCAGAAAGACAAATTTTAAGAGATGATGACTAATGTTAGCATTGTACTCAATCCATGCTCAGCTTAGGGTTTAGTCACTCTACTTAATCCTCACAACAAGCTTGAGGTGTATACTTTTTTTTCTTGATAATGGGGAATGAACTCAGGACCCTGTGCTTGCGAGGTGGGTGGTGGCACCACTGAGCTAAATCCCCAGCCCGAGGTGGATACTTTTAATGACCCCATTATATGGCAGCAAGTTGAGAGAATCACCCAGGACCACACAGCTAATTCACTGTGCTCGAAGGTCCTGAAGCCAAGTTGTATGGCTCTGGAATGGTCCCCTAAGTACAGGAAGGGGACGCTGCCTTGGTGGAGATACGTAAACCTTGAATTTCCAGGGGGCATTTTATTTAGGCCTTGGGTTTGTACAAGGGCCCGTATAATGGCTCAGTGTGGCGGTTGCATTTCTGGCATGGGCTCTGGTAACGGGGCCTGAGATGTCACCAGGGGCCAATCAGAGCTTCTGATCTCCATGCCTTGCACAGAGTTAACACAGTCAGTTGACAGAATTCCAGCAAAAGAGAAAGAAATGCACTGTTTAATTTGGCTCATGATGCTTTATGCTGGCAAATGGATTATTTCCACCAAGCTATTAAAAATAAGGACAGTCACTCCCAGACACCTATTCATGTATTCATGACCAATTGTTTACCTCACAGCAGGTCGGGAGCTGGGCATTGTGGGCTGAGTGAGGTGGATGCAGCTCCCATCCTGCTGTCTCACCCAGTGTGAACTTAAGCTCAGGGGTGAAGGAAACTGTACCCTGAATCCCCCCTCTCTAAAGTTGTCCATGTCTTTCAACTTGAAGCCAAAAGTTCTCTGGGAGTGGAAGGAGATTTGTCAGCCATTCTTGATTAGGGAAAAGTATTTTAGTTGCCTGGCCTATCCTCCTTCCTGTGGATCTGCTGTGAGTTGCTTGGTATTTAAATATAGTGCATTAAAAAGGAAAACTGGAAGGCACTCAGCCTGGATTTGGGAATCGCTGTGTCTTTTCTCAGGAGTGAAACACCCTGCTAGCCCTGACCTCTGAGTCACCTGGGGCCACGGGGACTTTGGAGGGCTGGGCTCCAGGGAGTCCAGGCCGCTACCCTCCCGGGGTTTCCTTCCAGGTCCTACCTTCTCTGGGGGCTGCTCGGGCTCTGCTTCACAGGGCCGCACCATGCAGAGCCGAGTCTGCTTCACCATGTCACACTGATGGTTCCTGTTGGTGACCCGGCTGGAGAGGCCCATGCCGCAGCTCCTGGAGCATGCGCTCCACTCCGTGGTCTGCTCAATGCAGTTGATGCTGGAGTCGGAGACTTCGACTCCCACTGTGGCTTCTGGCCTGTAGGCTACGGGAGAGGAAGAGAGAGCTCTTGGGTAAAATGCGGGACCTCCAAAGGTGGTCCCTTAGCCAATGTTAGAAAGTGGATCTTGTCCAGTTCTGCATCCTGTGTTCCAAGGGCACAGAATTGGATTTATTTACAAATCCCAAACAGGAAATGCAAAGCTGACACATCATAGGATTTGAAACCATCGTTGTGTGGGATGACTGTTCACCTGGCCCTAAGATGCTTAGGACAACTTGCCTTTAAGAAGCTCAGTAGCTTTAGGAATACGGAATGGTGTAACACCACCAACTATTCCATAAGCTGCTGTGCTTTCAACATGTGATTTTGGCAGTGCTGGAGATTGAACCCAGAAACTTGGGCATGCCAAGCATGTACTCTACCAAAGAGCTATACCCTCAAGCCTTCTCAACATGGGATTCTATATATAAAAAAGATTATGATAAAAATTTAATTTTGATGAATAAATAGAACTAGCCAAGTCAAAATAGCTGTAAAAGTAATATTTTTTTTCACTAGGTAGAGGCTGTTACACACACACACACACACACACACACTTCAGCTCTGGTTGCAAAATATTCTGTCTCAACACTTCATATACAGCGCATGGGGATATCTCTTCTACGTGGCAGTTTTCCTATCTGTAAGGCATGGCTGATGATTTCTGACCTCAGAAAGACTGTAAAACTTGGGGTGCTCCCAATATAAATAATCTGGCTGAAAATGGTATGTAAAATATTCTCTACTGCCTTTTGCGATCCCCCCAAACTATGTCATTTATAAGATAATGCAGAAAGAATGACAGGTTCTGAAGTGATAGTGGAGCCTTTACTGGTGCTGTGACCACACCTAGTGTTGTTTCTCACCTGGAAGGGCGAGGCTTCCCAGAGTCCCCTCCTCATTTGGGCCACAAGTCCACTTCTCACAGCACTCTCCAGGAACCGCCACTTTCCTGGGAGCCGGGCAGTCGGGCCCGGGCAGCAGCACGTCCAGCTGGCAGCGGGGCACGCAGCCGATCTGCCCATCTCTGCAGGTGCAGTGGTACTGGCAGTTGGGCTCGAACTTCTCTCCGCTTCGGTAAATGACCCCGTCGAACACACAGTTGTCTCCTTCTAGCGCTGAAAGTTTGAGGGAGCGGGGCGGAGAGGGGAGAGGAACAAGAACACGAAGCATGGGAGGAGCCTTGTAAGACCTGGAGGACGCGTTCCAAAGCCGGTCCTTTCCAGTCCGGGTGATGAGGCTTCCCCTGCACCTCCGGGGGAGAGATGTTCTCCCAGAGCAAGGGGAAGGCCCCAGAACCGTCTGGCTGCCACCTTCTCCTCGACCTTTGCATGAGGAAAGGTACACTGTAAACTCCCTATACTGCCATATAAATAAGCCGGCTCGTTAATGACTTTGAGATCCCCCAAACCTTTTCCAATTATAAGATGGAATAACAGTTGTGAAGTGACACTCCCAAGCCCACGTAGCTCTTGTTGCCAAAGATAAAGTCATTTTTGCAAGAACCACCTTAGATTCTTCTACTGGGGTAGCTTAAACTTTAAAAAGAAAAAAAGTGCAGTTCATACTCTCCAAATAGATTAACTGTTCAGACTGGGACCAGTTAGGGTTTCTTGGCACTGAAACGCAATAAATCATCAAGATTCTGGTGCTCAGGGAGGGTAGCAGGGGCCGCCTCCGCTGCAGTGGCCTGCCTCAAGGGAAATCGATCCCGAGTGGATTAAACTTCAGGAGCCTGGATTGGCTGGCTGCCCGCATTTTATCCTTCTCGTCGCCCAGGCAGGGGTTACATCGTCCCCTTCAGGAGACCGGGAGCTGCACTTGGCTCCAAGCGGACAATTACAGGTGTGAAAGCAAGCCTGTGGGGGGCGCAGGGGGCAGGGACGGAGCGCTGAGTAGCCCCCAGCCGCTGTGCCCCCAGGTGTCCCCTAGAAGTGCCCGGAGGAAACAGTGTCCTCGCCCTCCACTCTACCCTGTCTACTAGGTTCTTATCCAGGAGGCAGGTGGTGGACGCTTCTCTCTCCCTACACGGGCAGGTTTCCTCTCTGGCTTCCGGTGCTCCCAGGACCAGGCGTGACCCAGACGAAGAAGCGGCCCTAACCTCCAGGCCTTATCGCGTTTGCGATCACGACTTGGTGGGGCACTGAAGAGGAGGGAGGGAGGGAGGGAGGGGACACGCGGGCCGCGTTACCCATGCAGACGCCGGTCTGGTTGCGCGGGTCCGCGCCGCGGTCGCAGTAGAGCCCGGCGCTCGGGTCGCAGGGCGCCAGCTCGGAGCAGCTCTCGCCGCGCTGGCGGGCGCACGCGGGGCAGCAGGCGCAGCCGTCCAGCACGGCGCGCACCCCAGGGGCGCAGGAGGGTGGCGGCGCGGGGCACTGGCGCGGGCACGGGGAGGGACAGCGCGCGGTGGCGGAGACCTGGGAAACGGGGCGAGACAAGGAGACCCTCAGCCCTCAGCCGGGACGCGGCGGGCGGAGCGGGCCCGGGCCCCCGGGGCGCGCCCCCTACCTGGCCCAGGAGGTGGAGGCTCAGGACGGCCAGGCAGAGGCTGCGCTTCTGCCCCCGGTGGCTCATGCTCTGCGCGCTCCGCATGCTCAGGCTTCTCCTCGCGCCCGCGGACGGCCGGACTCTGCAGGCGGGGCTCGGCACCGGCACCGCGCGCCCAGGTCCCCGTCGGGCTGGCGGCGGCGCCACCGCGCGGGGTTTATAGGGCGCGCCGGACGCCCGCGGTTGGCTGCGGCTTGCTAGGAGGCGGGCGGGCGACCGCCGTGTTGCCATGGCAATTGGCCGCGGCTGCTCTCCGAGGGCGCGGCGCCGGCCGGCGCGGGCCTGCGTGTGGCGACCGCTTCTCCCAGAGCGCCGGGAGCGGCCGGGTGCGGCCCGCGGGCGGGACCCGGCGGGCGGGCGCGTGGGAAGGGAACGCCCGCTTCCCCAGGACGGGGCGCCGCGCCCGCACCTCCCGCCGGCCCTGGCCGGCCCGAGGTGGGGCTCACGCGGGTCTGTCACCCTGCAGGCCCCAAGTGGCAGGGTTCGGTGGGAACCAGAGTAAAATGGAATAAAGTACAGATGAAAGAAAGAAAGAGAGCTGTGGGTGGAGGGAGGCAGAGGGGAAGCAGCGCGTGGAGGAGTCCGGGAGCCGGGGGGCTTAGGAAGGGGATTCAGCCCGGCCCTCAGGCCCTGCGAATCAGGAAGGAAGCGGGAGGTAAATCAAACACCTCTCCACCTGCCATCCGCTTTCAAAGAGCAGCTGCTGGGAGATGCTTTCACCTCCCAGGAGAGAGCACAGTTTTCCTGCTCCGGGGATGACGTTGCTTAAATAAAACGCCTCCAGCCCCCCGCTTTGCTGCTACCCCTGGGAAAGCCGTGCCCAGCTCCTCGGAGCATAACAGCCTTGGAAAGACACTTTATAAGAAACAGTATACAGGCCTGCAATGTAGCTCGAGACTTGAAAAAGGAACACATCGCCACTACCTGGTCTCTTCAGCTCGAAAGGAACCAGAGACGGCCTGCTGAAGGACCACGCTAGCCTCTGCAGTACCCCAGTCGGTGGTCACCCGGAATCCTTCAGCAACGCTCTCTGCAGCGTGCAACAGCTATGATGCGCTTCCAGCAATTCGGCTTTCTTCACGGTGAATGAGACTGATTTGTGGTCACAGCTGTAGCAGACTCCGGACAGGTAATCTGCATGTTGGCCTGGAACATCTTACACCCTTCACGCTGCTGGGCTTCAGGGGTCACCTGGTCCAGGGATGTCGCCATCTGGCTGCAACAACCACCGTGGACATGTAAAGAAGATAGACATCCTTGGGCCGCACTCCACCCATCCAGTGGTGGCTCCTGGTAGACAGCAGTTTGGTGTCCTAGGAAATATAAGCTGGCTTTTCCGAAACCTAGGCAGGGAGCAGCTAGTACCATAGCTAAAGGAGCAAAGAGTGCTGGCGGGTGGGGGTGGGGGGTTCCCAGCATGATTGGACTACGGGGCAGAATGCGCATAAGCTGGCAGTGCTGAGCGGGGCCTGACTCTTCTTGGAGAGAAAGGTGTCACTTCCAGATGAGGATGACATGTCAAGAAGTTGCTGCTAACCTAAAGTCCTCCACAGGACCTTTTGTTGTGAGCTGCAGAAACCAAACTTGAATGAGTTTTGGTTAGGAGAGGACTTTATTGGAAAATGCTCTTTCCCAAGGATCTAATTTGGAGTGTGCTGAAAAGGTGTTCATGGGCTTGCTCTGGCCTAATGGGTAGAGATGAGAAGTGATGCATGGGGATCGCTAACAGGTGTGGTTGGAATGGAAAGGAAGCACAGTTGTGCCCTGGAGCTGGGAAGAAAGCGTGCCCAGGAGACAAAATAATATGGATCCACTTGTCTGTCATTCGTTACAGATGCTCCAAGAGAATGGGTTAAAACAATTGTAAGTTGAACGTGAAGCCCTGCGACAATCATCATGTCATGTTAGGTTTCCCGGCTTCCAGGATGTCTCACACGGAACCTGCCATGCTGGGGTAGGTGTGGTCATCCGTGCAGGCCTCGCTCTTCCTGGCTTGTCCCTGCCCTCACTCAGTAACCAGGGACCCGTTTCCAGGTCAGCCTGCTTCTCCTGCTCAGCTGCCCCTGGAGGACCTGAGCATGCCATACTCGCCGGGACACTGCCAGCACCCACTTCAGAGAAAGGCAAGCGGTCAGATGTTCCTGCACCTTCCGAGGTGCTGCTGCTTCGCTTTGAGTTTTGCTGCTTGACCCTCACTGCCCTGCATAAGATGATGCTAGAAAGGACAGGTGGCTCCTTGTCCTCAGTGGCCGCAGAGCTAAATCAGTCCTCTTAGCCACATCCATCTGCTCCTGCCCTGCAACTTCTCTCCGTCTTCCCGGCCCCACAAGGCTGAAGGATAGAATGTGGGCTGGAGATCTTTTCTTGCTTGAAATGAACCGTGGGCAGTGGAGTCTCGGGGGCACCTTGTTAGATTGCTGGACTCTGAGTCCAGCTGACAGGGGAACTCTGTGGGCTTACGATCTGGATCTGCAGCACCGTGGTGGAGTTTTCATTTCCCCTTCCTCTCTCTTCCTTTTCCCTCTTCTCCGACATGACACCAGGGATGCATTTCTGCCTTTCCTCTCTCAGGTAGACCATTGATTTATGTCTTTGTTGCTTCTCAGTCAATACTCCTACCCCAAACACATTTGGGCAACCTCCCACATTCTGTAAAGGTAAAATGTTAACTTTTCATTGCTGTTGCGTTATCTTTCTCGTTATTCTAAAACATTTTAGAAAACAGTGGAGTTTACTTCTATAGCAGACAATCGAAATCCAAAGCATCGGCTCCCCCATATTTAATAATGGGAAAAAGTACGAGCAGTGACTGGTGTTCTCATCTTCAGAACAGCATCCTCCTCTCCTTCCCCCAGCGATTACACTCCCTGCAGGCTGGTAGATGTTCATTGTGTCTTCAGCCGGCCATTGTTTGGCCAAGCCACATGGACTTAGCCCTCATGGTGTGCCTTGTAAATCAACCTCAAAGCTCCTTTATAATTTTGTTGCTGTTTCCTGAACTTTCTTCATATGTCCCTTTTCTTGGTCCCCAGCCAGTTGGTAGAACGCAAAGTAATTCCCATTAGAAGTGAGGCTCGCCAGCTGTATGTGGTATCCAGTTACATGGTTAATTTCAATCACAACCTCTTGCTTTTCCGACAGCTCCTTTGACTTCTTGCTTTACCAGAAACAACAAAGGGCAGAGAAGAAGTGGTGATGAGAGGTGAAACATTACACATAATATTTAGTGCTATCTCTTTTGGAAATATTTTTCCATTGCTCATATTTTAAAATTTAAAAAAATTAGTGAATTTCTTAAAGAAAATTTCCAAAGAGATTAAGTAAAAAGCAAGCTAGAAAATTAGCCAGAAATAAGTGAGTTTTTCTCACTAGCTAAGGACATTCTTACAAGGAAAGCAGCTCTTTGGTAATCAGATGATTGTTTAAAAGTTTTCTGCCCTGGAGAGGCGTCTGTAAAGCTTAGATGCAGCCCACGTTCCCAGCTCTCAGGCACCGGCCCTGTCCTTCCGTATGGTCAGCTGCAGTCCACTTACCCGAGGGATTAGGATTCTGTGACCTGGACTAGTGTGGGAGGGAGAGGCAGGTGCTGCTCCCATGACCACAGCTCTTTAGGAAGTGATGATGGGGGGACACGGACTGCATGTCAGGCCAGCTCATTGCTGTCTGGAGCTCTCCATACTGGATGGTGATAGTCTCAGCTCATAAATGCTGCTGGTCCAGCACACAGACAGAAAAGGAAACAGGGTCACGTGAATATAGACAAGGTCCTGATTAACTTCAAATTAGTGCTCCCAGAGAAAAAAGAAAAAAGGCTACATTCATTTTTGAGAGAGCTCCTCTTCCCAAATTTGTATCTTGGAGCCTAAAAATACTTATACAGTCTCTCCCATCCAGCTTGAGAGTTTTCAGCAGCAAAAACCTTAGACTTTAGAGAGGCTTTACAACAGAGCTTTGTTGTAGTCGACAATGTGAATGTTCACAATGTGCAGTTAATTTATGGATACTACTTGATACTTTGTGGCATTAATCAAAGATGAATAAGATGTTTTGTGTCTTCAAGGATTTAAAAGCCTAGTAGGAAAATGAAGAAAAAATAACTACTATGTAAGGCAAAATGGGATAATTCCTCTAAATAAACACAAGCAAAGCAGCACGGGAGAATAAAGAAGGGTGAAATTAATTTGTTTGTTGTGAGAACATGAGTGTGCTGGAGGCTGGGGAGGAAGTGTTGGGAAAGACTATAAGTCCATGTTCATTGTTTGTCTTTTCACTAAACCACATTGCCTTGGAGACTAAATGACATTGAGTTGGATCAAGTATGGATAGGATTTTGAAACTTGGAAGCATGAGTGGATCAGAGATAGTTTGCAAAGATAGAAAACTCAGGACTTGTTTAGGAATGATAAATAGTTTAATTTATTTGGAAAGAAGGAAGGTTATGGTGATAAGGTTGGAAAATAGCCTGGGGCTTCCAAGTGTTGGATGATTCTAAATGACTAGTAGTGGAGTCTGATGGTTTTTAAACAATATGTTTCTATCTATCTATCTATCTATCTATCTATCTATCTATCTATCTGGAATTGCATGATCAGGACACTTCTTCAGGAATTCCTACTGGCCTACAGGAGAAAGTGACTGGAGGGAAACACTGCAGCTAACAAGTTTCTGCAGCAGTTCAGGAGAGAAAATGAGGACTCATAGAAGCACATTGCAATGAGAATGGAAGGAGAAGGTTGGAGGTAAGAGATGATTTATCCTCTGTGGCTGAACACAAAAAGCCATACCACAAAAAGCCTTAGTTATCTCAGGTTTTGACCTTAGATAACTAAATTAATTACAGTAGCATTTTCGTGCAAACCAAATGGCTTCTGTGGTAAAACATCTTTGCCGGGCTGCCTGGATTTGAGTCCTTGGATTGTAGCCTTAGATTGTTGCCTTAGTGCTGTGCCTCGGTGTCTTCCTCTTCATGAAAGATGGGTGTGATAAGAGTTGTGCCTTTCAGGGTTGTTGTTAGGTTTAATAAGATCATGCATAAAAAGGCCCACTGCCCTTCTCAATCAGTTTCCATGAGAAAATTAAGACCCAAGGCCCGGAGGCATTCATTGGGATGAATTAACTTTGTTGTATCTTGAATAGTACTTACATATAATGACCATTATAGAGAAAGAAAGGATATCACAGGAAATGGAAGTTAGGATGGGCTTATTGTAAGATCTGTTTGGGCTTGGATTAGGTGATTTTGAAGGCATTTCATGAAGTTTAGATCTGTTCTGGATTAAAAGTTGACAGAGGGCAAAAACAATTCTATGGTTTGTTATCTTAGTTATCTTTATGGCAAGGCAGGACGAATGAATCCTAGATGGAATCCATTTTGGAGAAGAGGCATGTTATAGTTTAGATCTAAGGTGTCCCCCAAACTCTTATGTGCTCAGATATGAGGTTTCTCAATGGTAACTGTATCACTGGGGAGCTATACTCATCAGTGCATTAATTCACTGAGGAGTTCAGAGCTGAATGTAGTATTCAGAGGCAGGGTCAGGTCAGAAGAGGTGGATCACTGGGGGCATGACCTGGAAGGCTGCATCTCCCTCCCTGGCTCCTCCTTTCTCACTTGCATCATGATAGAAGCAGAGTACCCTTCCTCCACCAGATGCTTCTACCATGCCCTTCCTGCCTTGGAGCCAGTTGATTATGGATTGAATTCTCTAAAAATAAATGAGCCAAAATAAACTTCTCTTCCTTTAAGTTGAGTGTGTTGGGTAATTTGTCCCAGTGATGATGAAAGATACTCAAACAGATTTTCGTACCTGGAGTGACGGGTTGTAAGTCTACCTGATCATATGGTGTAGAAACTTTTGGAACTGGTTTGTGGAAGGAGTTTGGAAATGCTTGGAGATATGGGCTAGAGAAGCCCTAGAATGCTATAAGCTGAGCTTGATGGAAGGTTCTGGTTGGAGCTCAGAAGACCAGAATGCCAGTAGAAATTAAGATAGTAAAGGCCAGGCTCAGGAGCTTTCAGTTGGAACAAGAGCTCTATTGGCATTTTGACTAGATATCATATATGTTACATTCTGGCAGAAAACTTGTCTATATTTTGTCCATGTCCTGGAACAGTGAAAGACTGAGATTAAGGGTGGCAGACTAATATTGCAGAGGAAATTCTAAGGCAGCCCAATATTCAGGTGGCATGGGTACTTCTGGCTACTTTCAGCCACGTTTACAATGAGAATAAGGAGCATAAAGCTGATTGGAAAACTTCAGAATTTTGCCAAAAGTAAAGCACCTGCAAAATTGGTGCTTTGGAGAGTGGTGTTGTTAAAAAAGACTAACATTAAAAAGAAGCCAAGTGCTTTGCACCAGGACAATAGAAAAGATGTCTTCAGAGCATCTCAGCATCAACAAAACCTCACCTTTTGAAGGTTCAAAGGTACAAAAATAAAAGACTTTGGTTTGAGAAGAGAGTCCCAGGGAACTTATTTCATTCAGGATCAACAAGGGAATTATTTTCCAGAAGTCAGCCATCCAGGCACTCAGAGACTTCTGCAGCCATGTTGCAAGGGGGCCAGGATACTGCTTGAGTTAATGGCAGACTTTGGTGTTATCCATGTGGTGCTGGCTTTTCAGGCATGTAGAATGCAAGAGTTATGAAGTCATGGAGACTTTCATCTAGGTTTCACAAGATGGTATGGGAGGCCAGGCTGTGTACCCCTAAGAGGGCAGTGCATGAAGCTGTGAGAGTGAAACCACCTCAGAAGGGCGTATCTCTCTCCCTGGCTCCTCCCTTCTCACTCTGCTTCTTGGTCAACATGACATGGAGACACAAGTTGGCAATGCCAAGAGTGTAGAACATTTGTTAAGGAAACTCATAGACAGTGAGCAGAACCAACCCAAGAGAGAGACCATGAGGGGTGCAGCTGGCAATGCTGTAGAGGGAAGACTGTCCAAGCACCTTGGAGTTCACAGCTCACCACAACTTGCTCCAGGTCATGGACATGGAGTATAGGATCTAATGTCTGCCCTGTGGGGTTTTGGTCTTTCTTTGCACCCATTACTTTCTATTCTCCTATTTCTCCCTTTTGGAATGGGCATGTGTTCCCTGTGCCATTGTATGTTGGATGTGTTTAACTTTCTTTTTGATTTTTACAGGGACTCACAGCTGAGAGTTTGCCTTGAATCTCAGAGAAGACTTTAGACTTGGAATTTTCAGCAATGGTGAATCTGTTAAAATTTTGACTCATAGAGATGGGCTAAATGCATTGTGCATAAAGAGATGCACATGAGTCTTTTGGGGGCCAATGGCAGAATGTTATGGTTTAGATCTAGAATTCTCCCTCAAAAGGCTCATAAGTTCAGAGGTGAGGCTTTTGAAAGTGATTGGATCATGGGTTTATCAGTTAGGGTTCTCTAGAGGGACTGATTTAATATAGTAATATAGATTATAATGAAGGATTTACAGGGTAGGCTTACAGTGACCACCTACGGAATCAGGGTGGGAGAATATGAAATGGCTATCTGCATGCTGGAGCTGGAAGATCCAGTCAAAGGTCAAAAGCCTGGAGTTCACTGCAGAGTCAGGTGCAGGTCTGTGACCAAGAGCTGAAGCATCTGCTTTGGAAGGCTGGAGTCTGTGCCAGAGGCTAGAGGGACCTGGAGATGAATGTCCAAAGAGGAGGCAAAGAGCAGAACTCCTTCATAGAAGAAAACAGATGATTCCCTTCTTTCCCTTCTTATTCCATCCAGGCCACAAGCTTATCAGTTGATGTCACCCACATCCGGGATGGGTCTTCCTTCCTCAGTTTGCAGCCTGCATGTCAATAATCCACAGACACACTGGAGCTTTACTAATCTGCTGGGCTGTTCTTAGGTCAAGTTGACAAATCACAGTTAACAATCACAACAGGGATACTTACTCACCTGCACACTGATCCACCGAGGACTTCAGAGCTGAGTGTGCTGTTAGGCAGTAGAGTCTGGACAGAGCAGGAGGGAGGGTCACTAGGGGCAGACTCGTAAGGGACCCGGGCTCCTCCCTTCACTCTCTGCTTCCGGGCCACCATGATAGGACACAAGAAGCTCTCTTCCTTCAGGCTCCTTGACCAGACTGTTTTTTCAATGCGTGGACTAAGATCTCTGTAAGTGTGAGCCCAAATAACCCCCTCCTCCTTTAAGCTTTGGGTGTTGTATACTGTGTCTTACTGGGAATGTGACAAAGACAAGGGAATAGTGTCTACTGTTAGCTGGGATGGGAGAAGTTTGTCATTTTTGCTGCTGCCTAGTGCTTTCGTTTTTATCTCCAGCCACTCTGTTATAGAGTGGTCTTATCAGCGAGAGCCCTTATCTGATGCTGCTATTCTGTAGAGTCACAAAGGAGAGACTCAGCACCTAGCTGGTGGCCACAGTTATCTGTGGTCAGGGCTCTCTTCTTTCTTACTACTTTAAAAAATTTTTTTATTTTTATGAGTTTCTGTTTGCAGTACTAATGATCCCATTCATCATGGAGAATTGGTACATGTGCATAATACATCTTAATTTTTTTTTACATCCCCTTCTCTTCCCTCCCCTTGCAGAATTGAAAATGATGTTTTCTTCCTGCTTAATTGGGTACTTTCCACATCCATTCTTAAATGAAGCCTCATACTTTTATCCAAAACTTGGCAGTTATTTTTCTAATTATAAATGCAAAGCTCTTTCTTTTGGATTTGATTTTCTTACCCAAAATCTGACTTAGAGGAACAGGAGTTTGGGGCAGAAACAGAACTGTATACCATAGACTTGGTTAGAGTCTTTGATAATGGAGATCTGCCTTCCAGTTAAGAGAGAAAACACCCTTATTAGACAAGGGATGAGAGCTTTTCTTTGAGGAAAGATTTATTTACTTATTTCCATGGATACAGTTGTGTTTCTTCAAGTCTGAAGAAAACAATCTAGGAAAAGCTGCAAAATGCAGAGCGCCCATGATGAGACACGAGCTTGCAGAAATCTGATTTCCTTGCTGACCCATTTCTCCCTCCAGCGACAATTAGGGATCCTTTCACAATAAGACCAGAGGGTTCCAATGTCTTTTAAATTGAAGTTGTTTTCTTTAACCCCATTAGCCATACTGCAGGGAACGCTGATTCTTCTCCTGGGCCATTTCTTCTGCTGTGTAAATTTCTAATCATTTACACCCACACCCATACCCACACACTGCCCAGACTGAAAGCTCTTTGGAGTCTGCAGAAGTGAAGCAGACCAGATTTGTCTTCATCCCCATGATGCTGAGGGAGCAGAGGATGGCTGTTTCCCTTAGTAACACCCACTTGTCCCCATAGCACGGTCCCCAGGGCAGTACTTGTAGGCTGGCAGATTGCTGCATTTATGGAAGACACAGTCACTCTGAGATCCAATTGTGATTTTTTTTATGGTTTAAACATACTTTATTTGTATGTATAAAATGCTCTGTGTAGTTGACCCCAACATTGTTCACACTGACTTCAAGAGTTCTGTTTTCCATGTTCAAGTTGCTCAGTTGCTGCTGTTGGTTTGTTTTCTTTCAGGATCAAGGTGGGTGCTTTCATATAAAATCTTATTTTTTATTCCTTCTCTGGCATTTCTTTGCTGGATTCTTTCCTTTGCACAATTATACCTGCAATGGAACCAACATCCTAAAGTCACCATGATAAATCCTCCTACACCAACATCACACGATCTTCTAATTCTGCCTTCCTCTTCCCAGGTTTGCCTGGCTCCGGTGCAGCAGCCACGATCAGAAGTCCGCCATTCCTGGGAGAGAGGCAGAGGTGCTTGTGTGATCCGACAAATCCAGCCTGTTCTGAAGCAGCATTTGTAGACTGTGAAAAGAACACCATCCTGGTCAAGCCAAGGCCCTTTGTCACACTTGAAGCAGGGAATACCCTCTACCACCTTTTCCACACCTTGAGTTTCCCTTGAGCCATGGTGCAAACCCTCACATTTTTCACTCATCTTAGGGCGGACTGATTCCTGTAGGGATTCTTGGGGCCCTGAAGATAGGCAGAGGCTACCTTCTTCTCTGCAGCTGACTCTGGATTTCAGGCATGGGCGTAGGGAAGTAGATCAGCAGGTGGAGGGGGCCACCGAGTCACAGACGGTGGGCTTTTCCACCTTCTGCAAGTGACCCACACGCTGCTTTCAGGTGAAGCCTGAGTATTGCATTGCTTTCAGGAAGACCAAATCCCTGTCCCTGCAGCACCCCAAGCACACGGTGCCCTGTGTTTAGCAGGTGTTCCAAGGGGGCTGAGTACTCCAGGAAGCAATTGGTGAACAACCAGGCCTGAAGGCCTAATAGTGGGCACTGTTACTTTTCTGATCCTCTAATTTCTCCCAACTGTGGCAGTCTCTACACTCTATGTTAGCTTTTCCATCTTCTGAGGTGTTGTTTATATAATCAATCCCTACCTCAGGGAAATGTGTTAAGCCTGGTTTCTCTGGTGATTCTTTTGCAAGGCTGCCTTTTTCAGAACATGCACGGCTGGCTTCAGTTATCACTGGATCCTGTTGTTGTTTGGGTTGTTTTCTTTTTCTTTTTTCCCATTAAGTTTACTGGTACATTTTAGGTATAAAATACAGTTACATTCATCATCTGGATCTTGTACCTTTACATGAGTATCTTGGTTCTTATTTTTTCCCCTTTCCCCTGCCCTCCCTTCACCCCCTCCACCCTTCCCTATTTGCGAAGACTTTGTTTCTATTTTTTTTCCTTTTCTCATATTTTTTCTTTTCCCTTCTTTCCTTTCCCCTACCCCTCCCACTTCCCCTACTCCTTTAGACCTTTTTTCTTATTACACAATATCAATTATACATTATAATTTAAAGTTATAATATCAAGATTTAGAGGACATTACCACAGATTTTACAGAATTTAAAAGGGTATAGAAAGCATATTTCAAAAATCTTTTTTGAAATAAATTTGACAACTTCTATGAAGTACCTTGGAAGACAAATTA